AAGCCAGGATGGTGTGCCCACACTGGGACGGTGTTCCCAAAGCCCGGATGGTGTTCCCAGAGCCGGGACGGTGTTCCCAGAGCCGGGACGGTGTTCCCAAAGCCGGGATGGTGTACCCAAAGCAGGGACGGTGTTCCCAAAGCAGGGACAGTTTTCCCAAAGCCGGGACGGTGTTCCCAAAGAAGGGACGGTGTTCCCGAAGCCCGGCCGGTGTTCCCAAGCCCGGCCGGTGTTCCAAAGGCCGGCCGGTGTTCCAGAGCCCGGCCGGTGTTCCAAAGGCCGGCCGGTGTGCCGCACGCCGGGATCCCAGCGCCGTCCCGCCGCGGTGCCACGAGAGGGCAGCAGGGCCCCGCGGAGCGGCCGGGCCGGGGCTGCCCCGCGGGCCGGGAGCGCCCGGGAGGGGCCGCGCCGCCCCCGCAGCGCCCGCCGGAGCTCCGCGCCCGCACCCCGAAACCCCCGCCACGCTGAGCACCTGGCAATGGCATTCCCACCGGGCATCCGTGCCGCGAGTCCCAAAAGTCGCCTAGCGGTTCCTCGGGAGTAATAACTTGCCCAACCCATGCTGAGCTCTGCGACTGGGGTGTTGGTGGTTGTTTGCTGGTTTCGCTGGGGCGGTGTTTCCCCCTCATCCTTGAGTCCAAACCCTGGTTTGGGTTGGAAGGAACCTCAAAGCCCATCTTGTTCCACCCCCTGCCATGGTAGGGACACCTTCCACAGTCCCAGGCTGCTCCCAGCCCTGTCCAGCCTGGCCTTGGGCACTGCCAGGGATCCAGGGGCAGCCACAGCTGCTTTGGGCACCCTGTGCCAGGACCTCTCCACCCTCATTGGGAAGAATATTTTTTTCCTGATATCCCATCTAACCTTGCTTGTGCCAGCCATTCCCTCTTGTCCTGTCCCATCCTTCCCACACACATGGATGGATGTGCCAGTCTTACAACCCCTGGACACTGTGCCCACGCCTTCCTCGCAGCCCCAGCACTGTTTGCCCATCTCTAACAGTGGGCAGCATTAAATCTGTTCAAGCTCTTCACAGACCTGGTGGCCACTGCAGTGACAATATCTCAGTGCAGGAGAAATTCCCAGGCAAACACATCTATTGATTTCCTTTCTAACTCCCTTTGGATGGATTTGCCAGCCAAAAGGGTATTATTCCACCAGATGATAAACAGGCAGCCTGTGTCAATGGGTGTGTCCTGGCCACAAGTCCCCACTGTCCTGCCTGTGGTGGCACTAGGTCTGTCCAGTGAAGACTGCTGTATGGGGAAGGTGGACCAGAATTCTCTCTTCCTTGCATAAAATGCAAATCCCAGGTCCTAAATCAAGCCCAGCTGAGCAGCCTGTTGGTGTTGGTGGGGTTAACCTGCTGAGCCTGTAGGAATCCCTACCTGGGTCTGTTCCCACTCTTCTCTCTACAACTCTGGCTGGAGAGCCTTCTCCTGTCCTTGTTCCAAGCATTTCTGCTCTTCAGGAGATATCACATCCTACCCCTGATATAGCTGCATTCTTGTGGCAAGTGGAATGGTTCCCAGTTTTGGGATGGCTTGGGGATCTTTTGGAAAAGGTGTTGTATGAAATGCTGAGCCACTAGGAAACCCATCTTCTCCTGGGAGCTCTCAAGACAGGACAGCACTCCAGTACAAATTAGGCATTGTGCTGTTGGTTTTGTTGTAGTGGTGTTACCCTGCTCCCTCATGTCCATGCACCAGGAGGTGCTGCTGGTAATGCTGGAAGCATTTTCCCACATCAGCAACTGCTGCGTCCTGAGCAGGCACACACCTCGTGCTGTGGGACTGTAAAATCCTGATGGAGCTCAGAAATGGAGCCAGGCACCCCAGCAGGCAAACATTACCTCTGCACACCCTGTTCTGCTCATCCTTCCTTTCTTACACAAGCCCCGATGCCTGGCACGAGGCTGTTATTTTATTTTTTTTGTGGTGGTGGTGGTAGTTGTTTGTTTGTTTGTTTGTTTGTTGTGCTTTTGGAATTTTTTGGTGGTTTTTTAAAATCCATATTTCAGACAAAAAACCTAAAACTCCCACAAGTTGCTGTGATGTGTCCAATGGCATCCAAGGCTCTCTGCTCCCAAACAGATGTTGCCAGGGTTCAGCTGAGTTGCCAGCAGTGTTAGTGGCAGCATGTTCAGATTCAGGGGCTGATTAGGGTTCCCCATATCCTCACTATTGCAGCTGAGCCGCTTCCTCTTCCCAGAAAGGACCTTGGGAGTGTCCTGGCAGCAGTCACCTGCAAAGCCCTTCCCCAGGAGTGAAGCAGAGACTTTGCAGGAGTGTCCTGGGAGGTTATCCTGTTCTATGTAGGTAATAAAAGCCAGGCTGAGCCTACAAGAACTTGTGGGGCTTCTCCCATTCACTGCTGAGCCCTCTCCTTGCATGCAGGGAGCTGAAGAGAGAACCAAAACTCATGTTAGATGTAGGGCAGGGGGAAATGGAGGGACCCCAATCCCATCTTCACAGGCTATAGTTGCAATGGCAGGTGCAGGTGTATGTTTTGGAGGGAAAATACCTCTCAGATCTGAAAACCTCCTCTGTGAGATGCCCTGAGTGGTGGGTGAGGGATGTGGGTGGGATGAGAGGGAAGTTCTGTGTCCAGCAAGGAAACCTCCAACTTTCTAGGGATGAGGCACCTGAGGAAGCAGATGAGGAGCATCTCCTCCTCACTGCCTCCCTCTGGCTCTGGAGGAGCTGGCTCACAAGCAGGGTGTGCTGCTGGTGCTCCCAGGTGGGTTCCAATAGCAGAAATAGGGGGATTATTTTGTTAGGGCTGTTGCACGCACCTCAAAGACATCCCACAAAAGCTACCAGGAACTGCCATCCAGTGCTGATGCCATCTAAGTGTTTGGATGAGAGCTGGCAATTTGACAATGAAGCCAGTTTCCCTCTGCTGACCCACATCCTATTTCATTTTCCTCCTTTGGAGTTGTACCCAGAGCCCTCATACAAGGGAACACCATAGATCTTTGTCAGTCTGCAAAGGAATCCTTTTCCCCAGTGCAGCTGGGATCTGTTCTAAAGAGGATTAACTGCAGACAGCCAATTCCACCTCAGCCACGAAGCCTGCTCTGCTCACAGGTCTGCCATGAATCACCCAGCTTCGTGGTTAATCTGTCACTGAGCCCATGGCTGCGGGGGAAGGGCATCTGTTCTGCTCACAGTTTTCTACCTTACCTCATTTTCAGAACTCTGGGCCTTCCCCTGTGCAGCTCCACCTGAGCCCTGCTGCTCCTGAAATGGCTTTGTTCCCACTGGTTGGATTATAGCGATCTATAATTCTTAGCTATAAGGCCAATAATTCAGAAGGAAGGTTTGATATCCTGTTGCCAGTAATGAGATGACTGATTCCACTGTCTTTTCAGTGTTCATGTCCTCCTTAAAGCATGGCTCCAAAACTTCCTTCTCCATGAAGGATCTCTAAAGCTGCTTCAGCTCTGGTGAAGCAGCTTTGCAGCCCAGAAGTGTAATTATCTCCTTTCTCTTCTACACATACTTTAGTAGTGATGTTAGAAGATGCTACTCTAATTGACAAATGAGAGGAGGCTCATGGTATCCCCCCATAAATTCTTTCTTTTTCTGCCACCCTGTTTTTCAAGGCTTCATGGCTTTCCCTTATGAGACTTGAAGTTGCCTGGAGCTGATCTTCTAGAAAATAATCTCTCCAAGAAGCAGCTGCAACTCCTGTTTCCCATGTCTGTGTACACCAGTGTCTCCCTAGATGTTGAAACATCTCCCTACAACCTTCTTTTAATTTACCTTAGCAACTGCTCCCCTTTTATTCCACTAAAGCACGGGTTGGTTGGAATTTGCTCGTTCTCCCCGTGACAGCTTTGATCCTGTGCACAGAAGTGTTCCCTGACAGCCAGACAGCAGGGAAGGGCTGTCCCTACCCTCGAGGGCTCTGGGAGTCATGAATGAATGCTGTTTACTTGTATTTCCAAATGGCTTGTGCCTTACCAGATCAGCTGCATGTCACTGCAAGCCGAGCGTGCTGAGACAGCCCTTGCTCCTCTTCCGCTCCTCTCAGGACTGGGAATTTGTTGCTAGAGGCAACAGCCATAAGATGAAGAAAGCCTTTTCTTCTGTAGGTCTGTCACCAGGTTATAAAAGTTGGACCTTCTTGGTTCAATCCAGCTATAGACAAAGAATTTAAGTGGAAGTGCACAGGGCAGACATTGGAGTCATGTCTCCTTTGCTCAAGTGTGATACTTCCCTTGGCCTTCGCAAGTTTTTGGACAAACACAGAACAAGGTAAAGGTTCTCCAGGTTTATTGTCTTGTGCTTAAGACCACCAGGAGGTTTCCCAGTGGATTTCAAAGGCCTGAATGTTTCCTAAAAGCAGTGTTGGCAGTTTGGTTTTGGTAATGTCTCCATCTATTCTCCAAGCAGTGAGTTTGTTCTCGTACCTGCTTTTCCCCACTGCCAAGGGGCTCCATCCCTCCACGTAGTCCTTTTGCAGCCTCTTTGCATCCATTTCAGTGCCCTGGATAATGTGTCACCCACAAGAGTGACCTGAGGACCACAAGGACTAGAGGGGGCTGGTGTTAGGGTGGGGATAAAGGGCATTCAGCTCCTTGGCCTGGTCCCTTTGGGGATTTTTCTCTTTGGCAGGGAAGAGAAAAATCACTGAGGTGATTTTGTCTCATTTTGGAGCACAGAAAGTGGATATGCAAGTTAGAAAAAAGAAGAACATGAGTTGGAAAAGAGAAGAGCAATCAGTTTTGTCAGTTTAGATCTGAGAGGGGACTGAGTGAGGTCACAGAGGTGGGGCTGGCCTCCGTGCTTGTCTGGGAAAGCTCACACTTCCAAGGAGTGACCTGAAAGTCCCATTTTTCTCCTTGTTTCCTTGACTTTTCTTTTTTCCCTGCTTCCACCTGGCCTACACCTTCAGCAGCTGCATTTATCCTGGCTGCAGCACAGTTTGGCTTTGGGAAGAGTCCTGAGCTGAGCTTTGTTTAATACTGTTTGGTTTCTTCCCTCTCCCTAACCCAGAAACAACTGAGCTTGGGAACAAGAAGGAGCTGAAATCCATGCCCTTCATCACGTACCTGTCAGGCCTGCTGACGGCACAGATGCTGTCAGATGACCACCTCATCTCGGGTGTGGAGATTCACTGCGAGGAGAAGGGGCGCTGCCCCTCCACCTGCCACCTGTGCCGGCGGCCCGGCAAGGAGCAGCTCAGCCCGACCCCGGTGCTGCTGGAGATCAACAGGGTGGTGCCTCTGTACGCTCTGATCCAGGACAACGACACCAGGGAGGTGAGTGACTGGCCAGCCCCACTCTGTGACCTCACTCGGTCCCCTCTCAGATCCCCTCCTGCAGGTTCCCTGGAGTGAGGGGGGTGTTTTGGTGTTTCCATGTGTGGGATGGTGTCAGGGATGGAGCTGGCAGGTCCTGCTGCCCACAGCCCTCTCAGACCTGCATCTCCCTGCCTTCAATATGTTCAAGGCAATGCCAAGGCCACAGTCATTCCCAGTGTCCATGCTGGTGTGCAGGATGTGTCCTGTGGAGAGGTCTCAGGAGCCAAGCACCAGCTCAGTCCCTCACTCCTGGTGCCAAGGTCCAGGACATACCTGTTTGGGGGTTGGCCAAAGTCCTCCAGAGCTCCAGCCTAGCTTTGCAAAGGTGCAGAGGGAGGGAAGAACCATCCCCTTGGGACAGTCCCACAGCCACAGGAGGTCCCTGTTACTCCAGGAGAGACCAGCCAGGCTGGAGGTCGCCGGTCGCTGGGGCTGGGCTCCTGCAAGAGCTTCAGTGTTAATCCTGTGGAGATTGAGTTCCCACTTTCTCGGTTCACTGCCACTCCCACCCCCCTCTGCAGCCCTCTGACCCCAATCTCAAGCCCAGAAATGACAGACCTGCTTAAAGTCACTTATTGGCACTGAGCCTGTACTTGATTAGGATGTCTCCAGTGAGCCAGCATGCAGCAGCTGTGGGTGGGCTGCAGAGGGCTGCAGGTCAGGAAACAATCCTGGCACGTGGAGGTGTGAGCACCAGGAATGATGCTTCACCCCCTTCCCACATTCATGGGGAGAATAGTCCTCGTGCTTCTCCCGGTACCCAGATTTCTGGGTGCTGTCTGTGGGGAGTCACTCCTTGCCTACCTCTTGATCTGGCTCCTGCTTTCCCATCTCTCAGCCCTCTTGGTCCTTGCACGAAGCCATGCCTGACTTCCACACCTCAGTTTGCCTCTCTTTCTGGGTCTTTTCCCTTTCAAGCTCCCTTTCTCCCACTGTGTTTCCTTCCTGCATTCTTTCCCCCACCCTGTGCCTGCTCTTCCCACTGAGCAGTTCTTGTGCAGAGGTTTTGTTGGCCTGCTGTTGTCAGTGTGTCCAGGGCAGTGCTGGGATGAGGCACTGCAGGTACATGGAGAGCAGTGGGACAGCTGGCTTCCTTCAGGCAAGAAAGATGTGCTTCCCAGCAGCAATCTGCCAGAAGGCATTCTTTTAGGGATACAAGAGGTAGGTTAGCCAGCAAGGAGGGGATAACAGTGAGGAGCCCAGCAGGATCTGAAGGATTTCCATGGACTTTGCTCACCACCAGGTCCCCTGCATTGCCCTGTGCCCAGGTGAAAATGCCACCCTGCCTCTCTGGGCTGGCTGCAAACTCCCCCCTTCTTCTTCCTCCTCATCTTCCTCCTCACCTGTCCCCCCACCATCCTGCCAACACTGCTGGGCTCACTTGGGGTGCCTCCTTGTTCTGAGGAGCTGTAGTCTGTTCCACCAGCAGCCTCCCTTCCTCCCTCCTTCCCTCCCTCCCCTGCTCCCCTGGCCCCATCAGCTGCAGCTGGAGCTCAGCCCGCATTGTGCTTCCTGCTGAGGCGCTGGGAAAAGCAGCAAACAAACAAAACCCCAACCACGCCAGAGACACCCCAGCAATATTCCCGGGGGTTGTGCATCTCTCCTCCTCTTCCTCTTCCACCTGCTCGCCCATGGGTGGAGGGGCATGCCCTGGGAGCCTGTCCCTGTGTGAGGTGCTGTGTGAGAGTCTCCCTTCACCCCAGGGAGCTGTGCATGGGCAGGGCTGGGGTAAAAGGAGACAGGGTGAGGGCTCTGGGCAGCTGCAGCATGGAGGGGGATGCTGCCAGAGCAGGCACTAAGGGAGCTGGCAGTGAGCAGCACGTGCCAGGACAGGTCACTTTGTGCCATCCACAGGTGCTGGGGTGAGCAGCAGGTGGGATCATGCTGTCTTGTATTACCACCCCCTCCTTAGCTGGATCTGGTTGTTTCAGCTGTAGGCTTCTCTTGACAGCAGGCCCTCTCATCCCTTCCTCCCTACAACCCATCCCAGACCATTCCCATCCTTGCTCCAGCAGGACACAAGGGAGTGTTTTCTGCCTCCCCTGCACCCATTTCTTAGTCATTCCCATTCTCTCTGCATGAATCCCATGTGTTGCATCAGCTCCATCACTTTCCCCTTCTTACTCACTTCTGATGGGCTGTCCTGCTCCCTCCATCCCTTCACTCCAGCTTTTTTCTCCACCTTCTCTCTACCAGCCTCTCTTCTGCAGGACTTTTATTCTCTCCCTTTCCCTCTCCTTCTCTTGCTGTCCTTGGCACCACAAGCAGGGACAAATCCTGGTTCCTGCAGGCTGAAATCCACCACTGCTGAGGAACTTGCTGCCACCTCAGCACAAACCTTGGTTCTCCACACTGGAGGTTTTTCCAGGCAGCCTGGGCTGGGCAGAGCTGTAGTTTTCCTCTCTGGAGGAAGTGGAGCTCATGCGGGCCATGTCCCTATCCTGGAGAGGATGGTTTGGTGTGGGGTTAGTGCTGCCTCTGTGGAAAGGTGTCCCCATCCTCTTGTGGCACCATGAGCTCGAGCACAATGGATGCTTATGGAGGGCAGGGGCATTGTCTCTCCCTCAGCTTCCTCTGTGAGCAGGGAGGGATATCATGAAAGGGAAAGGGATTTAGGGGTGGTAAGGAGCTGCCACCACCATGGGGACATCAGCCTGTCAACCAAGACCCAGAACACCACCAAGTTTAATCGGTGACTGTACTCTGTACTGAGAGGCTCCACAGGTCATGTCCCACCAGGAGCATTTCATGTATCATCTGGATGATGAAATACCCACTTTCAGCACCAAACAGAGGCCAGGCACTGCAGAGAGGCATTCTACTGCGCCATAAATAGGATTTTCACTTGCCTGGGCTGAACCAAGTACAGCATCTCCAATCCTGAGTGCTCCATTGTCTGCTTTTCTCCCTTCATGGAGATGATTCTCAATCAATACAGTGAGTACTGACCTTAGAGGAACTGCAGGCACATCCCAACTCCTGTAGTGTTAAAAACAAAGAAATTGTAAACACTCTTTACATATGTGTCCACAAAGACAATGCTGTATAGACAGATAACAAGGTCATTAGCAAGGTGGATTATTGACTTCTAGAAACTTGGCTGCAAGTTTTCCTGTATAAGCTGAGCAGCAAAGATGAAGCAAAACACAGGTAGAGACATTTTGCCCTCTTCAGCATGTCTATTTTTTAACAGGTTTGTCTTTTCATCTGCCTTAGTGGAGTGAATTATGAACTTTTCAAAATTTACAGCTACAGCCCTGTCCAAGGCCGTGTTCTCAGTTGCTGATGACCTTGCCAGACTCTTAAGTGCTGGAGTTTCAGTTTCTATGCTGGGTGTCTGCTGTGGACTGATTTGTGGTATTTCTTTGTGTGCATGTTTGATTTCAGCTAAAACTGACCATTTCCAAGCAGGAGATGAGGTGAAAATATATTACTTTGCCCACGTGAAATGAGTTTAAAAAGTCTTTATTTCCATGTCAGTGGGAATTGCTGTTTTCTTCTTGCTTTGAAGCAAGGGCCTGAAATGTAAAGGGCTCCAGGAGTTTTGCCTTTTGCTGTCCAGGGAGAATTTGTCCAGAGGAAATGTCCTCAAGGTAACTCTCAGCTCTGTGTGATCTGCCCTCCCAGCCCAGCTCCAGCACAACTCCTGCTCCCAGCAGTGGGGAGAAACAATCTGAGTATGAGGAAAAGTATCAGGCCCCTCTTTTCCTTCTTGTATGCAGTGAGAACTATGCACTGAGATCCTGCTAGGAGTTTCTTTGTTTCCCCTGTGGTTTAATAGTGTTGGCCAAAGAATTTGCACCATCACTGGTCACTGCAGCCTGGCTGGGGACTGTGGCAGTGCTGGAGCTTGCCAGGGTGAAGGAGATGTTTTTGGAGGTTCAAGCAGCTCTTGAAGGACTTTGTTGAATGTCTTTCCTGGTGTGGCTGTGGGTGGCAGGTTTGGCAGGAAGGACTCTTGCTGGAGCAGAGGCAGTGCTGGAGTCCCCCCTGCACTAGTCCCAGTCACCTGGTGAGATCCAGCTGATCCAATTCTACAGGACCATTGCTGTCACAGCTCCAGTGCTCTCAGTCTGAGTGCTCACACTGGGACTTCCAAAGGTGTAAAGAGACAGAGAAGCTGTGACCTTGGCTGTCATCTCCCAGGGACTTCTCTGGAGCTCTTTGGATCCTGCATCAGTTTTGATCAGTGCCAGCATCTCTCTTCTGCTTCCTTTGTGCTCTGCAGCAGTGCAGACATCACAGTGGTTCCTGCACATGAAGCTGGAGGAGATTCTCCACTGCAGGGCTGTGGAGGAAACCTCCACCAGTGTCAGTGGCTGGCCATGCCCAACAGCAAAGAGCTTCTCTCTGTGGTGGGGCTTTCTGCTGGCAAAATGCTCTCAACACCTCAAGGGCTGGATGCTGTTCAATGCATGTGGTGGGAGAGAAGAGAGAGGTGGTGACTCCAGGTGCTTTCACTTTGGGGAACATCCTAGAGTCAAAGAGAAGAGCTGCTCCTCACCCCAGTCAGAGTCCCCTCAGGTTATGGTGACTTTCCTCCTCCACCTTAAACATACTTCTGCCAGCCCTCTCCCCATAGGGTGGGCATCATCTTTCTTACTGCCCAGCACAGCCCTGGAGTGCACCCAGAGGCACAGACTGAGAGTGAGAGCACAGGTGTGCATGATCTGCAAACGTCCTTGTCCCTCACAGGAAGGCAGGGAGCACCCTGCTTCCCCCATCCCTCCCAGGAGCATCCTTGACAGGGATGCACATCTGCATGTCCAGGGCCACGGGGCAGCCGTGGCCAGTGGAGGGGAGAAAAGGCAAGGTATGCTGGGCAGTGTGGTCCCTCCTGTTTGTGGTCTGTTCATTTTTCCCCCAAAAAACCCTGAATCAAGCTTCTGTGGAGCAGCTCAGCCAGCTGCAGAAATGCTTAGAGGGTGGTGTGGTGAGGGGGGTGTGGAGAAGGGAGG